CCGCTCCAACTCCCCTCCCGCTCCCGCGACAGCGCCCGCTCCTGCGCCGCATCTCCTCGTCGCAGACGCTGCGCAGGCTCTCGATGGGCGGTCTGCGCGACCGTGACCGCGCCCGCGAACGCATCCGACACCCGCACGACCCACATAACATCTCCCGCACCCCTAGCTCCATGAGCTTTGCGGACTCCTCCTCCAGCCGCATCTGGTCGAGCACCGGCAGCGCCTCCCTCTCGCCCAGGTCCGCCACGGACGACATTCTCTGGACCAAGTTCGGCGCCAGGAGGGTCGACCGCATCAGGAGGAAGAGGCACTCGTCGTACGCCTGCTCGGATTACGAGGTCTCAGAGTCCGACTCGCTCGTCGAGATCGGCGAGCGCTTGCCGGACCGCCCCAACGCCGTCGCCGAGGAGGATGTCTTCGGCAGGAGGAGGGGTGACTTTGTCAGGGATTTGGATTTCGTCCTCACCCCGAACAACGACCCCGTCCTCGCCGCCGACCTTGACACCGTCTCCAAGCATCATCATGATGATGATACCCTGCGCGATATCAATGCCTACTTGAAGGGCTCGTCTATCGAGCCCCACCACCAATCTACTCCGCACCTTAACCGCATCTCTACTACTCCCACCACCACCACCACCCATCAGCACGATCACACCGAGAACGGCGACGACGACCACCACCACCACCACCCGGGGGACGACGAGGAGGCTACTATCCGCCATATTACGAAAGCCATCGATTCGTCGAAAGGAAGGTTGCGGAAGAGCGCAAATATGAGCAGGGCGTTCCGCACTGTCATCAAGAGCGGCGAGGGCCTTGTGCGCAAGAGCGAGCATCTCAAGGCCACCATCAACAGCGACGATAGCAACGACCCATCCATGATCATTTTGCTCCACCCCACCTCTCATTCCCCCGCCTCAAAACAACCTGTCGACAAGACCAGCACTACCTCAGATGAGGCCGCCTCGCTGGACACATCCTCGAGTGCAGGCGCTCGCCACAACAGCAACACCAACACCACCCTCGGATTTAGCACTAGTATGACGGCCAAGCAATGCGCCGCCACTTTGGAAACACTCCTCCGCGAGATGGGATGCCGCGTATCTCGCTACCCTACAGACCCCCACGACGTCAACCCCGTGCTCAGGTTACGTACCATGCGCGTGCCGCTCGGCGGGCGCCGCATCGACAGAAAAATCAAAATCATTGTCACCATTCGCGAAGAAGACCACATCCGCACCTCGGTCTCCTTCAAGCGCCTGTCCAGCTTGTATAGCAGCAGAAACTCGCACATTCCGCTGTGCACAGAAATTCGCGATCGCTTCCAAAGGGAATGGCCCGCAGTCGTCGAGGCCCTATATATTCGCTTGCCCAACTCCTCCTTGGCACCACCACAGGATCCCATGCCTCGTCAGGAGCCGCCAGCCCGCAGACCCGCTGCTGCAATGTAAAAACATAAACTAAAACAAAATCACCGACTTCTGACGGGAAAAAAAAAAAAAACACACTTTTTGCGACACAGCCTGCGCCTTCTTTATTTGTCCGACTTCCTCCTCCACCGCATTGCACATGCGCTATCTCTCTCTCTCTCTCTCTTTCTCTCTCTCTCTCTGTCGATTTCGCAGCAACTTTCATCTATGCATCGTGCGGTACGCAGTTCGCGCGTGGATGACAAGCACAGGCCTTACAGTCGCAGAATTGATACGGTACCCTGCTTGGGGCGCTGTCGGCTCTCGCGTCTCTGTGGCTGTTGCATGATGTCAGTGTCATTTCCTGCGAACATGCCCTTGGCTCCCCCTACACCAGTATCATGCAATACCACCGCAACCGCACATGTCAGCTCTCTGAAAACCTTGTCAAATACAGGTACACGCCCATGCCGTAGAACGACATGTGCCTTTCACGACGGCGCATGCCGTGCGGCGACCGCGCCTCGCGAGCCCAGCTTTCCGCGTTGCGATCCTAAAGTTTTACATCATTTTTATTATTGCAAATACTACAACACTTTTTCTGACAAGTCTTGGCCTTGGTACTTCTCATAAATCAAGGGTAGTTTTTTTAAAAATAAAAATAAAATATCGCACAACTCCTCTATCTGAGACGCAAATCTTTGTATAGCACGCTGCGTGGATTGCTTCTGCAGCACGCCGACAACATGTTACGAATCAATAATCTGCACCCACATCTACATATTTATTTCTGCCCCGAGGCGCGAGACAATTGTAAATGACCGGTAAGAAAAACTGCAGTACTGCAAAGAATGCAGTGACTCTCCATTTTGCTTGCTTTAAGTATTCTCAAGTCGGATACGCACAACTTTTTGCAACGAGTGGGCGACCGGTGTTGGTGCTTTTCAATCCCACTAAAAAGTCTTGATCTCGACAGCAAGCGAGTGTCGAAAACGGAAAAAGGGATTTCTTCAAAAAAAGAATCCGGTTTATTATTAAAGCCGATGACAAGCAAACGGTGCGCTATATATGACACGAAACGCCCATATTGTACATGCTTATCCTTTCCCCTATCACTTCAACCTGTTCAGAAAATTCTTCCGGTAGGAAGATGCTCACGTCTTGTACATGAAACTATGTCAGTGGGTGTTCATTTCGTGGCGAGCGGTAAAACAAGAACAAAAACAAACAGACAAACCCTTGGCAACGCTTTCCAGAGCGGTTCTACGACATTTTTATTAATTATACACTGCGGATTGCTATATGCGGTATATATTTTTGCGTTAATTCGAAGAGCGATGCCCTTTCCTCCATGTGCATTTCCGTTTTGCCCTACAGTATGAGAGTTATCTTTCCTTGTGCTCTTCCGAGACCCCTCCGCTATATACGCAGCATTAGCCTTTTTTTTATTCGCAAAATCGTTTCAGTTCAGAAGAGGTCAGAGGACAAGCATTTGGTCAAGACTTTGCCTTTTGCGTCACCGAATAGTAAAGACTCAGTGGTCCTGCTTCTTCCTGCTCACAATCCAAAGAACCATTCGCCCTGCTTCCAAGGAGCTTTGCATTTTTTACTATTCTTGAAGGCCGTTTTTTATGTCCTCGAAGAACTCTGCATAACACCTGACAGAAACGCCGAAACGGACCGGGTGCTTTATCTTTGTCATTCTCAAAGTGATGGCGAATGTGGTGTACATGGGCATCGCCCGTGTACCCGACAAACAAATTCTCGTTTCCTGCGTGGCAACCGATTCTCGAGAACAAAGCAAGCAACAGCTGGACTCCATTTTGTCCAGGGTGCTGGTCAGCGGGCGCATTGATGAACACGATCGACTAACGATAGCCGACAAGGATGTGGGAAACATTCACTACAGCGCGGACCCAGCTCTGGTTTACCTAGGTACGAGCCCGCCCACGCAGAAAAAAGCGTTTAGAAAGCCGTCTTCTAATGCCCTGCCTAACGACGTTTGTTCTTTTATGTTGCGCGATGCAGTAATCACCGCGACAAACTACCCACAGCGCACGGCCTTCAAGCTCCTGTCCGAAGCACGCGCAGAATTTGAACAAGAGTTCAAGACAGAGCTTGCGGGAGGGAAGAATGATGGCGTGGCCAAGGTGGCCAAGCCGTTTTTGAAGCGCATGATGGACAGATACGAGGACGTGGCGAGGGAGGATAAGATTTCGAGCGTCGCGTTACAGGTGGACCAAGTGAAGGGGTTGATGCAAACGAACATCCAGGCGGCCTTGAAGGTATGTATGATTTCTCTGCAAGAGCGCGTTGGTACAGATAATAGAGTTTATCTGACGTTTGATTTGCTTATGGACAGAACCAAGAAAACTTGGAAACACTCCTCGACAGCAGCGACACAATGCGGAACGAAGCGAGTACTTTTAATCGGAGCACGAAAGACGCCAAGGAGCGGATGCGGTGGAAGAGCTTGAAGATGAACATTTTCATCTTTGTTCTTGTGCTCACCTTGGCATTGCTGGTTTTGATTCCTCTGTTTATGAAGAAACGCGAGGGCGAAACTAAAGCCTAGAAGCTACTACAAAGCACTTGATGTTTGACAAACGCTTGGTGTGCACAACGGAAGGTGTTGGATGTTTCACAGCGATGTCGGAAACCTTCAGCGGTGATCGAATTCCAATGTCGTCGCGAATGGATCACAAATTGTATCTTGCATAGCCTCATTTTAACCGAAAAAAAAGAAAAAAAGAAAAAAAAAGTTAGGTACAGTAAGACTATCGTGCACCCCCCCATTGTTGCATTGTTGTGTCCCAACTTTGTGCTCACTATTCCTCTCAGAGGGCCAGTGCAAAAAACAAGACAACCTTTCATCATCCGCGACCTCACACTAGATACATCTCCCTCCCCCGTCTCCGACCATGACCTTCCGTCACTCGCCATGACCCGAACCCCTCTCCTCGCGTACGTGTCCACGCCTCGTCTCCAATGCCTGCACCCGCCTTCCTGCCCACCTTCTCGCTCCGCCCGCCCCTCCTCTCCCCATCTCGCAGCGCGCTCCCCCGCCGTCTACGTCTACCTGTCCGCAGCTCGCGCCCGCGCCCCTCCTCCGCCCCACCCCCCACCTCGCGCGCCTCTTCCTCCCCCCCTTCATCCACCGGCCCGTCGAAAACGGTCTCCGTTGTCTTGCTCAACCTGGTCACGGTCCTCTGGGGCACGCAGCATTCCGTCATCAAGCTCGCCGTGGACAGCGCCGACGCCACCCCGGCCTCTCTGAACTGCGCGCGCTTCCTCCTCGCCGCGCTCGTCTCCATTCCCTTTCTGCCGCCCCTCCCAAATCTGCGCCGCCCTCCGCCTGTCTGGACGCGCGGCCTCGAGCAGGCCGCCTGGATGTTTGCGGGCTACGCCGCGCAGGCCGTCGCCTTGCAGACGACCACCGCCGCACGCTCGGGCTTTCTGCTCTATCTCAACGTCAAACTCGTGCCGCTCCTGGCTCGCCTGCTTTATGGGAGGCGCATTGCGCCGTCCGTGTGGGCGTCCGCCGCGCTCGCCCTGGCCGGGACCGTCTTATTGACGTATGACGGCTCGCCACCCGTGGTCGGCGATTTTTGGTCCGTCGCCGCGGCCGCGGCAAGCGCTATGTTCATCGTGCGCATGGAGTGCGCTGCCGCTACCGCGGAACCCGCGGCGGTGTCCGCGGTCGCGATTGGCGGCGTGGCGGCGCTGAGCGGAGTGTGGGCCGTGCTGGATTCGATGTGGGCCGCACCGGCACTCAGTGGGGTTGAGCTCGCGAAGCAGGTGGCCACGGGGCTCGTGCCAGGCTCCCCGGAGACGCTCGCGGGCGTGCTGTACCTGGGCCTCGTGACGACGGCGCTGAGTAACTACTTACAGACGGTCGGGCAGAAGAAGATTCCAGCGGAGAGGGCCGCCGTGCTGTACGCTCTGGATCCTGTGTACGGCGCGATGTTTGCCTACTTGTTGTTAGGGGAGACTCTGGGGGCGCAGGGGATTGCGGGGGCTATGCTGGTGACGATAGCCGCTGTGTGGTCGAACCTGAGTGGAGAGAGCAAGGAGAGGGCATATGCTGAGGGGAGGGCGGAGAAGGGCAAACTCTTGATGCAGGCAGATTTTGAGGCGCTTGACGTGGGCGAGGAGGGCAAGCCTGGGGTTTCAGGAGAGACTGAAGGTTCACGAACTGATTCGCGAACAAGAACGTCGGATGCAAGAGAGAAGCATGATCATGCCGGGAAGTGATGGCAAGATGTTTACGGAGTGTACATAGGCGAGGTTGTCTTGCTTGTCTGATTTTGGTTGCAATGGTGTAACAAGATGCTCGGCCGTAAACTCATATATTATATCAATAGTATTCCACGAAAAGGGCGTAGTTACTGTGCGTTGATAGCATTACCGCTGTGTGTTTGAATGATCACTGACGTGGTTTCACTACGTCTCCAGGATACATTCACATTTTTTTGAGACCGTAAGGTAGAGGTTCTCGCGGAACTCTGTGTATGGGCTTATTCTGATGTCATCGATCTCTCTGAGAATGTCAACTGTCAGACAACGCCCGACGACATGTGGCATGATGACGGCATTCCTTAGATAGACTATCTGCGCACAGAATAATTTGGCACTGTTGTGCGCCCCCTCATCGCGATTGCATGTTTGCGATTGAGTAGATTTTAGCAGTTAGAACACTCAGACACAAATAGTTAGAAAGTATTGAGGGAATGACCATGCGTATCTCTTCTTCTACCGACAGGTCCTTTGAGCGAATACTGCACTGGGGAAAGAGCAGCACAATGACATGTCGAAATCACTCTAATGACGCTGCTAATTTTTAGACGTCCTTGCTGATTTTCTCCGACCCATCGAAGATGAAATCACCTAAGGCGATAAGAGCTGTTTGTAGAGAATCCCGGTAGGAAGAACATATACGTCAATATGTATTCAGCTTCTCCCTCCCCTCAGAGAGAACGGTGCATCTATACTGTACAACTGTATGTACTGCCGCAAATACGACTGGTGTGAAGCGGGGCCAAGGAGTTGTGCTACCAATCCCCGAGACTATGCAATTTTGCTTTCTCTCTTCGCGCACTGCAAAGAGAGGCTCTGATTGCATGATTGCATTCAATGAAGGATTGCGAACAGGAATGCTTTTGCCGACTTATGTACCATATCTTCTAGTTCCTACGGATGGTGCATGACTGCGACCTGTATTGCGTGCAAGGATGCAATCCTTGTATGGTGATTGCAATACCACTTCATATTTGAATGGTCACTGGCGGCTATACAGTACGTCTCTAGGTCTAAATCGCGTTCATTGGGATCGTTCGGTCAAGCTCAAAACGCAATAACCCGAAGCCTTTCTTCTTTGTTTGATTTTACCGTGTCCTCTGTTCCGGGAGAATGAAGAAAAAGCGAGAGAGATATGCAGAGCTTTGTAGTGCCGCCCGAAGCCAATTGTTCTGCTAAGCGAATGGAATTTCGCCAACAGCTATCTCTGTGAGCTCGAAGGGCTCCTGTGCAGATTAAATTAAATTGCGACAGCACGGGCCGCTGGAGGAGAAGCCCGTTGCAAAACTTTAAACTAGCCTCCGCATTCTGTGACCTCTGCCCTTCTCTAGCAGGCATTAAAGCCGACAAAAAGAACAATTGATCTGTCACGCCCCTTTTAACGATGAAGGTTTTTGTTTTGATTTTGTATTTTAAGACATTGAGTATCAGACTGTAAGATAGGGATTTTGATCCTGTACCCAGTGCACTGCATTGCCTTGAGAGCTGCCGAGCGCTCCCCTACAGGGGGGGGGAGGGGGGACGCGCATTCGTGCCGAATTTTTTGTTGCCACGCTTCGATTAGTGCACCCCTCTAGAGGGACAGGAAGACGAAAAACGCCGCGTGTCACATCTGTCACCCTTGCTGTTGTGCTCCCGTCTCTCTTACCACCAAGGTACCTAAAACTCCAACGTTCCTCCCAGCACGAACACCTTTCGCAGTCAATAATCGCTATGGTTCCGCTCCCTAGGAAGACGAAAACCACGCGTATGCGCCAGACTGAGCGCAGAAGCTCGAAATCACCGATCTACAGGCCAACCAAATGTACGGAAATCGATATGACGCAGTCACAGATTAATGCCGTCTCCGAATAGTGCCGGGTTTGTGGCTCCCGCGCGGGGCGGCACTAATGGGTAATGGCCCCTGTAATTTTTTCTTTTCTCCGTGCAGTTGTGAACAGTTTCCATGTCCGGTGTTGTTCGAGCCGTTTCCGCAATCTAGCACATCCTTTCAATTGTCACTTACGGAAGAGCGTAAAGTACGACGATAGAGCAACTCGGAGCATGGACTTGCTCGGGCAGTACACCACTGTTCAAGGTGTCTCCGTCTCAGATTCTTCATCAGGAGATGAGGCTGGCGTTTCCCCCGCCGCCGTCATCGAATCCAAGACTCCGCCACCTGCAACGAAGAAGAAAATCGTTACTGGCATAATTGAGGCCGTCGAAATAGATGCCGCTGAATTTAACGCGAACGAGCGCAGATTCGCAGCACGAGCAGTTGCCGTGGACACTGCCACTCGCAACGCCGCTCAACAACGCCCAGGTCATCGTCCAGACGATTGCAAGAATGACAAGCCAGCGGAATCATCGCGCAAACAAGCCCCACGAAAGCGGGAGCGCTCTTCATCCCCGAAACCATCGGCTAAGAAGCTTCGCGACCAAGGGCCGCTCATACCCACCTCGACTTTCCACGCCAACGAAGCAAAAGACTACCAGGGTCGCTCATGGGTCATGCCCAGCGGCGGCGCGCGGACATTTGCCGACCTTGAGGAGTACACGCCGTACATTCCGAAGCGATGTGCCCGTGAGCTGAAAGGTGCGCATGTCGGCGGCGTGTCTGTTGTCCGTTTTTTTCCAGAGTACGGCCATTTGCTGCTTAGCGCGGGCATGGATGGTAAGGCGCGTGTGTGGAGGACGTCGTCGGGGAAGCTTGTGCGAGATTACTGCGGCCATTCGAAGACCATTCGGGACGTGTGCTTTTCAAACGACGGGCGGCGTTTTCTCACGGCGAGCTACGATGCGACCGTCAAGTTGTGGGATACAGAGACTGGGCGCGTGGTGGGCAGTTTTACAACAGGTGCGGCGCCGTCCTGCGTAAAGTTCAATCCAGAACCGGAGAAGCAGAACGAGTTTCTGGCGGGATGCGCAAATCGAAAGATACTGCAGATTGACGTGCGCAATGCTAACGAGGTGGTGCAGGAGTATGATCAGCACATGGGGGCCGTCAATTCGATTTCATTTGTGGAAGATAACACACGGTTTGTGTCCAGTGCTGACGATAAGGTGCTCCGTGTGTGGGATTACGGTATACCTGTGGTCATAAAGTATGTCAGCGATCCACTAATGCATTCGATGCCGGTGACCGTGTTGCATCCAAATCGCAAATGGTTAGCTTGTCAGAGCATGGACAACAAAATTGCTATATACTCGGCAAGGGATCGTTTTAAGCACAACACGAAAAAAAGGTATGGTGGTCACTTGGTTGCGGGCTACGCGTGTGGTTTGACGTTTTCTGGTGATGGGCGCTTCATCGGCAGTGGAGACAGTCTAGGTCGCTTGTTTTTCTGGGATTGGAAGAGCTCGAGATTGTTTCGAACGCTTCAGGGACACAAGGGAGTTTGTATAGGACTTGAGTGGCATCCGACCAAGCCCTCTCTGGTAGTTTCATGCGGCTGGGATGGCGACATAAAATTCTGGGACTAGACCTCTGACACCATTGTACTTTGCATATCCTTTGCAAGAGTAGACACCATTCAAGGAATTTTTACTCCGTAGATTATCGTAACCGCTCCATCAATTCGAAACTTCCCGTACCGCCCTCATAGACTTGACCCATCGCAACTGCCGCACTCGGACTCTTCATGTCATCGTACGTCCCGTTGAGGGCACTCTCCGTTAGAAACTTAATGCTCGTCTCAAAAGTCATTTTCTGGAAAGGGCTTGGCGTGCTGTTCATTGATTGCCTGTTAAACCCACGATATGACCCTTCGTTCGTCATGTAATCTGCTATCAGGGAGAGATGGCGAATGTCGACAGGGATTCCATTTGCTTTGAAGACAGCGCGTAGCTCCTGTATTAGTGACTGACGGAGAGCTTCCACACCATACCTTTCGAGAATACCATGCATGTCATTTGTCAATAGCCGGTTGAAATCTATGAGTCCCTGTCCTTTCTCTATGATCGCGCAAATGTTTGATCCCTCCGTTACAACGGTGACCCCGTTCGCATCTGATTCCACAAAGCACCGTGATATCTGAGGGACTGCGTGAAGCTTCAAACCGCGTGCGGCTTCTTTAGCAATTCCCGTAATATCAATCCTTCCCCACAACGCGACGGGTAAACCCCAAGTAAAACGTAAGGTCTCGCCGTCTATATCTTGGAAGGACCTGGGGATATAACCAAGATGACCGGAAGCAGAGAGGTCCAGAAAAGCTTTGTCAGGGTTATCCACCACCCCGAAAGTTGGCCTTCTACGTTTCTTTTTCTTTTTCACATTCGACCTCTTCTTTACCTCCATTGGTGTCTCATCTTTTTCCTCATCAGCTTCTCCTAATGTGGCATCCATTTCCTCTTTCATAAGGGCTCTGGTATGCTTCCTTGTGTCTAGTTGTTCCACGTTATCTTCATCGCTCTGCCGTCCTTCTTCGTCCGAAGACGATGCGACACCGAGGTCCGATGTGTCGTCTGCGGTCTCCTCTTGCATATTAGATGGGTCGTTCAGAGCACCACTTGTTTCACTTGTTTCATCATTGTCAGACTCCAGTTGGTCTCCCTCACAAGATTCGGCTTGTAATTCTCTTGGTCTTTCAGCAACATGTTCGTAGGCTGATATCGCCTCTTCCTTAAATCCACCGATATCGGACGACACTTTCCGGAGTTCTTTGTTGACCAAATCGTGAAAACTCTCCAGGAAAAAACGCCCAACGAAAGTTTTGATGGATGCAAACTGTAGTCCAAGTTGCTTCTTGTAAAGGCTCTCTGGAGGAAATTGCAAGAGGATTTCACAAGTCCGTATAGCCCATTGACACTCACCTGGTGAAAGTCGGATTCCTTGCTCACGAACTGATATATTAGTGATCAGGTCGAGCAAATTAATCTTCTGTAACTTCCTGCAGAGGAGTTTTGCCCCGTGTTGTGGATCTTTCGCACATATCGGTAACTTCATGCAGGGAGTTTTTGGGTTCTTTGAAGCTGTCATAAGCAGTTCTCGCAAACGAGGGATACCGAGCGTCACATGTGCAGAACTGGACCCAGTATGATGAAACGTATTCAATGTCATTTGAGTAGATGGCTCCCCTACTCCTTGAGCTGCTACCACACCCACAGCTTCGCCTGGTTCCAAGGCGGCGGACCGATACCTATCATAAAGGAAATCTCGAATGCTTTCTCGATCGCCTGCCGTCGAGCGTTTTACAGTTGCATCAATTGCCGCTTCAAAAGATTCGGAAACGACTCCTGGCTGAGATATAGCCCCAGGAGATAGCTCTTCTAGGAGAGTTCCGCTTCTTCCCATTTTCTTTAGAGTGCCAACGCCTTTTTGGCCCAGACGTTTTGAAGAGTTTTGACCTGGATCTTGCAAACACTGCTGGTTGGCGAGTTGCCATTCAATTTTCGTGTTGAGCCAACGTGATTTTGATGGATCAATACCATCGTCACCATATATGAATTGTAAAATCGTCTGGTCACTGTCGCGGACCGTGTAGTCATAATGTAATCGAATTCCTTCAAGATGCTTGATGAGACAGCGCTGGAGATATCCAGAATTGGCAGTTTTGAGAGACGTATCGAGAAGACCCTCTCTTCCTGACATAGAGTGAAAAAAGAATTCTTGTGGTGAAATGCCTGTGAGAAACCGCCCAGAAACGAAACCACCTGCGTTGGGTGATGCATCAAAGGGCGCAAAACATGGTAAAGTTGCACCACTTCCTCCCATTCGGGGAACTCGTTTTCCTTCGAGAACTGTTGATCCCAAGAGGCATGATATCTGAGCTGAATTCACTGCAGAACCCTTCGCACCGGTATTGGTCATGAGGGCAAAACCGTTCTTCGGAAATGCCTTCCTTAGCGCAGCAGGGATACATTCTTGTGTTACAGCAGAAGAAACTTTGTTTAAGGCCGTCTTCATAGATGTGTCAAGTCGGTCCTCTGCTTCTTTTCCATCTCTGCGAATCATTTCTTCAATGAGTGTGCGCGCTTCTGGAAGCGATTTCGCTGTTCTGACTTGCTGATCAGTTTGGCTCATCTCTGCGTAAACAGCATTGGTCACGTCAGCTCCTATCGTTTCAGCTGCTTCCGCAAGAATTTTACGCCGCTTTAGGTCGCCGTGCTCTTGCAATAGTAGGTCATCAACCCCTGTTGTATGCCCATGGGATCTGATAAAGAACACACATAAGCGACTCATAGCGCTGAGAAAGGCGTCTGACGCGTCACAACCATATGCTTCTTGAATCGCGTGAACAATGCCATACATGGCAGCACCCAAAGAGCTCTTGTCAATGACACCTCGTAGTAACAATCCATGGCGGAAAAGGATCAACGATTCCTCCTTTCCGATTACATTTGATTTTGTTCGCGTGCCGGCTTCAAGGTTCAGACCTGGTCGTCCGTTTCGCACGACAAAGAGAATAGCAGATATCAGTTGCTTCCCAGTCCATAGCCTCTGCGGTTTGTACAATGCCGGCTCTGGAATTATGTACTTTGTTCCATGTCTGGCCGGGCAATTCATCAATTTTTCCGTGGCGGCATATAGAAATTGCGTGAACTCCTCTCTTTCCATGAATGTGTCTCGCCGACTCAGAAGTGTCGCTGCAGCGATGTGATCTTGAATCAGTCCACGTATTGGAGCCCCAGAGGTTGGGACGATGTAGTGTTTGCTGCTAAGCAGAAGTTCCTCTGCTTCAGCCCGGGCAAGATAGTCTTGTGGTACATGCACGTTCATTTCATCTCCATCGAAATCAGCGTTGTAGGACCCACAATTGGCATAATGGAATCGGAGAGTGCGATCTTTAGGTAAGACACGGACTTTGTGAGCCATAATTGACACTCGATGCAAAGTTGGCTGCCTGTTAAATAAAACCACGTCCCCCGTCCTCAGGTGACGGTGCACTCGCTTCGGGACTGAGGTCCCTGCAGAGCTTATACCGCTCATCCCCGCTGCCTCCGAAGCAGCATCTCCGTTGTGCAGCCCGTTAGTTTTTGAGCTGCCATTCTCGATCTGGTTCTGAAGTAAAAGTCCAGCTTGGGCAACCAGTCGCCGACGGTCTTGTGATGAGCGGAACTTGACAACACGGTGATTCCCAGTCGTTGTCCAGTCTTCGACGGCTACAGCCCCCGGATAAACATCTGGCCCATTCAGCACAGCAGCTTGCATTTCCTTTAAGTTTGTTGCGATGACAGGCTCGGGGACTGTCAAAAGTTTCGCAAAGCTCTCTGGTATCCCAAGCTCATTCGTATCGAGGAAGACGTCTGGACCGATTACAGATCTACAACTATAATTGACGCGTTTTCCCATCATGTGCTTTCGAAAAAGCCCAGCCTTGGCCTCAATTTGTTGTCGAATACCTGTCATTTGCACCCGTCCAGAGCTTGCAGACATGCCAGCGCTGTCATAGAGGTCTCCCAAGGCCTCTTGCATGTTGCTCATGGCTTCTGCAAACCTCTTCTTTGACGGTCTTTCGACTTCCTCTGCTTCATTATCCGAGTCGTCAGAAGCAGCCTCTGGTCTTAACCCTTGCTCGTTAGCCTTCATAATGACTTCAATTTCCGTGAGAATCCGCTGGAAAAAGATGTTTTGCGGGTGCTCAGAAGCATAGTCCATGGTCCCTACGGTTTGAGTCGGCCGAAATCTCGAGGGGGGGACAAGCGCAACTTTGACAAATAAGCGCCGATGCCCCGAAGACTCCCCAACGGCATCCAGAGACCTCCCCTGTAAACCAAAGAGTAATTCAAACAGGCTAGGGTAGGTCTTCCATAAGGCAGCGATGTGGCTTTCAATCTCGGTCGGCGACAACAATATCTGCGTGCTGGATTCAGAGTAAAACAGGCGGCCGCGACCACCAACTCTCACAGAAGTAGCCGCCTTGCCGCAATTAGGACAAGCAGCCATAAACTTCAAGATGATATCTTGGGTGTGTTTCCACCCCACAGAGCGTAGCTTCAGTAATCGGTTTGCAGCTGCTGCTTCTTTCCAAGCAGCGTGGGCTGATTGTAGGATTTTTTTTTCGACAAGTTCCGCGTCGTTGGATCCTAGATGCTGGACATACTTCGCAATCGGTTTCGGTAAGCCCCGAAGATAAGCCCTCCAATTGAAAATAATGCTGCTATTGAGCCTTTCTGAGTCCGGCTGTTCCGCGAGAGATTTTTCATCGTTGGGAGTTTTCCGCCGGCGTAAGACAATGAATGAGTACACAGCATGACCGCACTTTGGCATGCCGGCGTCCTCAAAGTACAAACGTGCCAAATGCAACTTAAGATCTCTGGGGTTCATACGCAGACATTGGCAATTCCAACATGAGCATTTCATTATTTGGATGATGAGCTTGATAAGCAACGGGTTGGGAAGAGGTACAGGCAGTTCAATATGACCGAAATGGCCGGGGCAGTTGATGTATCCCAAGCCGCAGGTCGGACATGGCCCATCCTTATACGAAGAAGGACCTAAGGCGGGGTCGTAGAGGCCTCTTGAGATTGGTCTGCCAAGTTCATCGAATGCGAAGGGGGAGGTGAGGCGACGTACACTCAGGCGCAGGGCCTCCTCTTCAGAATAAAAGCCGAAGCGGAGCTTGTCGACTACGTGGGCGACGTCGATGCTGCGTGGGTCTATCGTATCCAAATCCATTCTTAGTTGTTAGAGAGCAAGAGTCTGACTGCGTCCCCGTCGAAAGTTTTAAAACGAAACCGCATGAAGGCTATAATGGTAGGGGGCTGAAATGCTGCATGGATGTTGCAACCGGAATCCGCCTGGTATCCTATGGGGGAAGGCAGTTGCTCACTGCGACAGCGTCTTCCCCCCGTCGGATCAAAAGTTATGACAAGCCTCAAATTCCTGTTTGGTAGATGGACGTGTACACGTATACACATCGACACGTTTTCATTGATCCTTCGTTCTGCACTGGAGAACAGCGAGCTGATTTTCGTTTCAACTGTAGACGAAAGCTGAAGAAAAATAATCATCAAATCCGCCCAGAGTCATTGCCATCCATCAGCATTCGCAACTATTTTTTCCGAGCTCCACCGCCGTTAGCCCACCCTGTTTGCCATCCACCATTCACCAGGAGAAGGAAGACTGCCGTACCCAGCCGCCAAACCGACGCAGAAGATGCTCGACAAACCACCAGCTTTCACAGGCGTGCCGCTCCGGCCGAGAGGACTGAGCTGGCGCTGCCCACACGGCCCACTGACGCCGCGCCGCGTGCGAAGCTGTACCGTGAGCGCGCGCTCGCTGGACTCGTATCGAGAAGGCAACCGCTTCGGCAACGAGCGTCGACGCGCGCAGAGCAGCAAGTCGTCCCGCCTTCGTCCCAAGGGCGGGACAAACGACAACGCTGAGGGCCCCCCCAAGCCGCGCCTTCCGCTCGTCAATGCGCTGTGGAAGTTTAACATCGCAAGCGTAGAAACGTGTGCCTTTCTGGTGAGAAGCAGGTGTGTACGCGTTAATGGAAGCGTGGTCAACGATGCCAAGGCGAAAGTTCATCGTGTTGACGATACCATCTCCGTGAATGGCAAAGAGTATGGCACTGTCGCCGCGTTTGAGGAACAGGGAGAAGTTGTCATTCCGGAGACCAGTACGGAGGTGATACCGAGGGTGCGGAAGGATTTCATGAATAATTCGAAGACTGGCAGAAATCCGGAGGACTTTAAAAAGTATAATCGACGTGTTGATAGAGGTTTTTTCTCGACGCGAAGATATAACTCAGGCAAGTAGATCGCATTTTTCCGAGACGGGTATTCTTTGAGTTGAGAGTTTTGAATGTTCATAAAAACATCTTCACCCGGGGGTATCAATGGGGAACCGCTTCAGCTCAGTGACTACTGTTAGCGAACGCAGTCTTCCGACGGAAAGGGCAGAGTCTTAGGATCATCTATCAGCCCTGTCAGATTGCTGGCGCAATGAGTACGTTAGGAAATCTCCCATCATCAGCAAGGACCATTTTTGTTAAGCAGAGGCACCTAGCTTCTGGGAGGGGACTCTGTGATGGGATTGTTTAAGGCTCTTATCTTTTAGTTTACTGATGGATAATCAGGCAGAGGGACGCCAAATGTCAATTGAGACGCACTGGTCGGTCGGAAAATACTTCGGAGTAGGAGCATATTTTCTCCTGCTTTATCAATGTTATGCTGAGAGTCTCCACAAAACCGGTGGGGCGGAGCATTAGGCGGTGTGATGGACATATTTTTTGGCTACTGGGCTTTTCCTTGCCCCACCCAAAAATGCAGAGGAGGCAATCGATTTATGGAGCACTAGTTTTGACTTTGTGTATGGGTGCTGAGAGTCGTCGGCACCGTTTTGAACTCTCACCGATGAGGTTGTAAAAGGCTACACATAGGAAAAGGCTGTGGGAACGCTAAATCTACCTCTACGAATGCGGTCGCAATACCGAAGTGGAGGCCTTTCATCACCGTCAAGGCTTCGCATTTTGGCTGAAATTTCTCCATGGACCTCCGAATGCAAGTTGTCTCGACCGCTTCAAACTTTTAAGAATGGGGGCCTACGTCATCTTCTTACTTTCCTTCTGTAGTGCGTTGGGAACGACTGCATCTATCGACCCCACGCTTGAGGCGCCTGAAGGGCTTGGCAATCTTGATGCTGTCTATATCATCGGCATGCCGCAGTGCGAGGACCGCTGGCAGCATGCTAATGCTTGGACAGCAGAGAGAGGAATTAAACCCACTCGCATCCACGCAACTCGTTTCGACCAGATCAACCTCAGGCAGCCGCCGATACCCATACTCGGGGTTCAAGAGAACGAATCTGTTACGGCGGGACAAGTCGCATGCACATTTTCGCATATCAGAGCATGGAGACACGCGTTCGCACACAATCATTCCACCGTCATGATTCTTGAAGACGATGTGCGCCCATCTGACTATTTGCTTAATCGAATACCAAATGTCATTTTGGAAGCAAACGAGGGGTCGCGAATACGGAAAGGTATCCGATGGCATTTTATTTATCTTCGCTTCCAACAAACTCTTCGTGACACCAACCGCTCGAATCGAAACTGGTCTAGACAAGTTCTAGCTGCAAGCCCTGGGTGGGGCACAGCAGCTTACATATTGTCAAATGCCGGGATTCGCTTTCTGTTGACGCGAGTGACAACATATTCACATCCGCTCGACGTTCAAATTGAACGTCTCCAGATGGGGCTTGACAATCAAGGAGCTCGCTTTGTCGCTCTTCATGCATGTGATGTAAATATTCGTGGAGAACCTAAACCAGGGTGTCCTGAAAACATCGTAGAACTGAGCCTAGCAGATCGAGGAAACTGCTTTTTCTCAGCAAGCCAAGCTGGTGAATCTCTTCTAGGCGGGGACTTTCCTGGCGCCAAGAAATCAAAGCAGTTGCGAGGGAACACAGGTGGAGATGTCTCAAGGTTTTCCATTCGCGAACTGGGAGAACCTGTATTTTAGGTTGCTTCCAATTTAGCCTGCAACTTGGGTATTCTCTCCTTTGCCATGGTGAGACAAGACTGATACAGATTCTCGGGTACGTTCTTACCACCTGGCTTTAAAACGCCGCGCAGCTCCCCAGTGGGTCGGAAGAGAAACGTGATGCGCGAGTCGCAAACCGACTCCTCTGCCACAGACGGATCAATGAGTACTTTGCCATCAAACAAAATAAAAGATATCGGGAGTGGATAGGTGTCTATTTCTAAGGAATTAGTTCGTTCCACAGTCGCGACCGCTATGATTGACTCAGCCTCCCCCTCCCCTTCTTCATTCTCCGTCTTAACTTCAACCATTTGTGCGTCCCGACCCTCGTCCACCTCTTCACCGATAATGCGCACGGACGGAAGAAGAACGTTCCTCATGGCTGCAACCCCTGCCAAGAGTATCGCGTCTTCCAAGTTACCATCATTATCGACACAATACACAGTCAAACGCAACTGCCATACCAAGAGCCCGGCCTCTACGCAAAGTTTCGACATGTTGATGTGTGGAGAGATAAGACTTCGCAAATACTCAGTTAGACAGATGGCTTCCTCAGATGATCGCCCTGATTTGTAATTAGGAGAAGCCATGGGTAGGAGCTCGACGGCAACATCCAAAATCCCTTGATCCGGGGCACCTGGAGCAGGTTGCACCAGGGTTGCGTGAACGCCGGCCACGGCAGTAGTTTTGCCCATCTTCAGCATCGCGGATCCAACCGCCGTGGCGATAGAACTCACGGTGATGTTCACTCGCCGAGCTTTCGTGAGGGAACGTCCATCCGGCCGGACATCTTTGTTGAGAAACCGAGCAAGATATTCGCGAGGGTGCACTTTCTGGAATACTTCCTGATCCATGACGTGGAAATGACCCCAGACCCAGGCACGTGGATGGCTTTTGGGATGGGAATTCTAGCTCTTGGTTAATGGATGTCAAACTTGTCCCGGTTGTGTTTGTTTAAGAACAAGATGTGTGTAAAGTGGATGCCGAATTATTTTGATATACCTTCGGACTCCTCCCAAAATGAGTCATTTTCGGTTGAGCTTTTTTTCTTCTTTTTGTGGTAATCTTGGCCCCCTAGGCCAAGAAGTATCGATTAACTCAAGAATCTTTTCTCTATCTTTGCTTCTATTCATGGTGTTCAATTTCATACTGCAGGTCTTATTCTTGTCACCTGATGGTGAAACTCATAATCAAGAGCCGCCATTTCCAGTGTGACAGTGCTATCCCTTGCAATTCACAGCTGCTTCATCGCATTTCTGGGGAATAAAGCACTTTCTGTGCAGTTTATGTTTTAATACGGACAACCGCTACTTCCCCAAGACAAAACCGGAGTGCTAAAGAGTGTGCCATTCTGGGCAGTACTCTAAAAGGCCTGCAAATCCAATTTGTGGTTACGTAGTACGTCGCCGCAAGAAACCAGACTAGATATGAAGATAAACAAACCAAAGAGCGTTTGACGTGCCTGTCTGCCCGTTGGATGATTTTCAATATTCCAAGGCTTTTCACGCACACAGCGTTAGCGATCATCAGCACCACGAACTGAATTCAGAGCGAGTTAAGGGATACAATATTGACGGGCAATTCTTCACGTCAGATTTTAATAAGTTAGGTGTGGCGAAATTCTGCTCACAGTTTCTTTCGATGACTTGGGATTGTTCTGCGGTCGGCTTGGCTTGTTCAATGGTCTATGATCGAAGTCTCTTTTGGAAACTTGAGTAGACCATGAGCTTGCGGGATTTTGTGCCTGTTCACACCGTGTTGAGAATGTTTGAGTCAGAGCCGTTGCTTTGATTCCCTTCTGGGAGAGTGCATAGATTTCGAAATTGCCGAAGACAGTACTGCTGGAGGCCGCCCAGTGTTTCCTGTTCGATAGTCACATCATGTCAGTCTATACGTCCCTCAATTTCTATTTCTATCGCCTTTCAAAAGAACTGGCCGCCCATACCTTTCGAGCTTCCAATTGGGAAGTATCTTCGCTTTTGCCCCTTCGGAGTGGAGGGGTAACGTCGTGGGGGCTGTTTGTTCGCGGTGAGGGAATTGAGAGAAACATCAAATGTGATGCTAATCGATCTCGCGAAGGGCCTGCCTGGAACAACGCAAATGTGACAGCATGGGCGCATATTCAGAGCTGAGTTAGTTCTCGATTACCAGAAGTATTCATCTGCCGCTTGGCAATTGGGTTTGATGGTTTAAACACACCGACTCGCATCGCAGGTCTCCCCGCTTCATCAGTAGCAACAAACACAGGTCGCATATCATTGTCAACCATGGCTTGTTCGCGGTACACATAGTTTCCCTTGGCCACTCCGGCCCTTCGGTCGTGCGTAGAAGGTGACTCTTCTGTCAGAGCCTCGGCAACGTGAACTTCCGTGCCTTCAATGCCCGCTCTCAGAGCACTATGTCTCGGAAGACGAACGAGCCAGAGTTCATTATTTGCATCTTCCAATGCAGACCGTAAAAGTGGATGGGAAAGCTCTTCAAGTTGAACGTCCTCATATATTATTTCTCCCTGCCTGCTACTCTCGTTTTCACTGTCCGCCTCGCTCTGAGAACCATCTGCATCTGAGTCCCAATCGTTATCTTTGTCTTGTGACAGGTCGTGACCGTTTTCAACAGCCTCCGACTCCTTCTTTGTGACCATCCCAGAAGATTATAACGAGAAGCGTCGGAGACTAATCCAAGCTCACGCAAGTGCCAAGGTCAGACTCGGCGTCTCGTTCGTGTGTAACAAGGAGCCGAGCTAGCCCTCAGATCGCTAGCGGAATCGAATTCGCCCATCGAAAATGAGCCCGGTGCGCGTCGGTACGGCATGGTTTTCCAGCTAAATATTTCACTTTTCCTTTTTTAAATTAAATTGAGGGCGCTTTGGGGATAACTTGCCCTGCCCTTCCCTTGTATGCTCTGTTTCGTCCGTCGATACCGCTGGTGCATGGAGAAGGCTCTTCCTCCTCGCAAAAATACAATGCCCTGTTCTAGCCTGTCACCCAGTATCCACCGAAGCGCGTGTTAAAATACATGAAGGTCAGATTGCTTGACGAAATGTTGAGGCATCAAACAGTCATGGGTAGTTGTATATTACCACGCTTTGTGCTATAGATCGAGAACACTGTATCTCCTCGATAGTTCATCATCGCAATGCAAAAAAAAATCCACGTTTACTGAGATGAGTGAGTAAATCTGATATTCTCTAGACCGAGGCATGAGTTTAGCATCTACTGCAAAGTAAAGGTCTAAAATGGGCGTACACTGGGACACACATCAAAAAGAGGGATGGTGAAGAAGCAGTCTTGACATAGCATGGGACCCTTGTGATGTTGCTTTTCGCGTATTGCACAATGCTTCAATCACTGCACGTTTAACAACCGGCTTCCATAATGTAATCAGCGACACGTCCAATGTCAGTGTTCGCTTTTCCAAAGGAAGCCCCGTTGCTGTACTTAGGGTCGTGAACACCAACAATTAATGACTGCGCTGTGCACATGATGATGACCCCCTGTGCAGATTTTCCTTCCTCCTTACAGCGACCTTGGAGGAAAGCAGCCCCACCATCATCATCATCAATCTCATAACGAGTCATCGTATATCTGGAATTCGCAGCCACAGGGAGAGAACATATCCATTAGTGGTTCTAAGACTAAAAATTCGCTCACGTGGAACATAACGAATGAGACAGCAAGTGTATATTAACGGCGACATACTTCTGTCCAGCTACATGAAATCCAGTGGTTGAGATTTCATCAAAGCTCTTTTCTCCAGTCAAGAGGCTAACGAGTATTTTAGTTTCCGCATCTAGAACCTGAAATGTTTCGAACAAGCAAGAAGCTTCTGTTGTCAGAAGTTGATTCGTTTTCATCGTGCATGCGAACTCAACAAACCGTTGACACCACGTACCTGGAAATCCTTAGTATTTGCCCATGTCGACGCATCATGTCCCACAATTGCGGCATACTACATCAAATCACATAGAGCTCATTCGAGAGAAAAGTCAGGGACTGCTTGGAAAACGCCATTTCCTCAAAAAAAGTCAAGATGCACTTTCATACCATAAAGCCAGCGGGGACCAGATGGTCATCAATGTATGTTTGCCAAGTCATGACACTTGAAAATCTGTTTTGCGTGAAGCTGCAGTTTTGGGAGGTCTCAGCAGTGTTGCAGAATGGGAATGGTAGAGTCGAAAGCTCAAGGGATTCTAGAGGAGGGCGATCTCGTTACTTTTCTGTTGTATACCAGTCAAGAAGTTTTCGGGGAGCATTATGTGATGAAAGTGCTGTTTAAGTTCCAGAAAAAATTTACTCTCATTACATTGGAAGCATTTTCTGGATGAGCGTGGTGTGACCGTATGAAAGTCAATTAAGCATTTCCTCACTTTCGCACCTTCAGTGTCATAATGGAATGGTCTTGCTAAATGTCTGGCAGTGCATCGCCCACGAAATTTGCATTTAAGTGCTGGCAACAACCACAAGAAGAGACACACCTCTACGTCACCTTGTATGATATAATAAATTCAAGTAAAGTAATGCATGTCCTCTAGATTTTTTCTACCTGCTCACAAGTCACCTGACACAACTGTGAATATATTTTGTGAACACGATCACAAAGGCTGTGAAACAATTCCTCTCTGCAGTGGACCTAGGAATTGGCTTTCCCTCACCCAGTTTCAGATATTTTTCCATACCCTGACCTCCGCTGTTGTCATCGCCGTTCCAAAAATGGATATATATATTTTCCGTTTATCATAAGAAGGAAGGAAGAGGAGGATATTAAAATCTTGAACCGATCTTCCGTACGCAATCTTTCGTCTTTGGTATGAGGAACGGGTTTTTCCTAGAGATACGATAAGAAAGGGGATAATATGACTTACCTCGATTACATCTGTATTCTAATCGACATTTGCACTATTGATTTTTGGTTTCGCATAGACATTCGGCCCAAGTGCAATTATTTCTTCACTGAGAATAATCTGATCTAGTGGGACTATGCGGGTTGGAGCTCTTCAACCAACTATCCTTCTACGATAGGAGAAGACATTCAAGCGTTTGCAGCGATTTGTGCGCCTTTTTTGAACACTACTTGCCTCAGTGCGATGTTGGTATGGGCAGAATTGATAAAATGGGATTCTATGACCTATAAGTAGAGAAGGTATTTCTGTCCTAAACCATGTTGCTGTGTTGGTTCTGTTCTCTTTCGTCGTGTAAAAAATACTCAAACGAGAGGGTATTCGTTCCGGGGCGAAATAATGTCATCTTGAAGCATTCTTTTGTTTTCTGAGGTTGGCGAGCCCTGTGGCCCTGACAGTTGAGTTCAACAAGCGCAAGAATGTGAGGGAGCGTTTCAACTGCTCAGTTGACTGAGGGAACCGAGCGAGTAGATCAGAGCACTTTAATCGAATTATCCCGCATTCTAGTATGTGTTGAACAAAATTCGAACCAATAAAAATTAGCATACTTTTGACAGGGCCGCTGTGAGAGTCACTCCAAAGGATCTACTGTAGCGTCGCAACTGTCGGCACGTTTCGGCGGCACCGACGACAACTTGGGTGGAACTCAGAGAGTCTTCGCACTCCGTCGCTCGTGTCTCAGTCTTTTCTTCCTTTTGCTGTACCTCACGATGACGAAGAAGAGAATATCGTACTTTATGGACAATGACATCGGTGGCTTCTACTATGGGCAGCACCATCCGATGAAGCCGCACAGATTGAGCATGACTCACAACCTCATGCTAGCGTACGGTACGTTCCTTGATCGTTCTTGCGCCTCTGCGTAAGAAAATTTCTTCCTTCTAATGACTGGTCTTTGATTCTTTACATGGTATTGCAACAACAGGCTTGTACAGGAAGATGGTAAGTTGTGGCGGCGCCCCTACTTAGCGGCAAGCTCTGTGCGATGTATTCCCTCCATTTGCGCGGTATACTGAAAGTTCTTTCCTTAACATGGTCTTATTTTGCATTTTGTTTGCACAGGAAGTTTACAAGCCTCGGCGAGCCAGTCCTGACGAGCTGAGACAGTTTCATGCGGCTGATTACATCGATTTTTTGCAAAGGGTCACACCAGACAACTGCCAGGAGTTTTCCAAACAACTAACAAAGTTTAACGTCGGGCGGTCGGGCGGAGACTGCCCTTTGTTTGACGGACTTTTTGAATTTTGTCAATTATACACTGCAGGAAGCATAGACGGGGCTCGGAAGTTGATGGCCGGATCATCAGACATTGCAGTTAACTGGGCAGGCGGCTTGCATCATGCGAAAAAATCAGAGGCATCTGGTTTTTGCTACACAAATGACATCGTTCTTGCGATTTTGGAGCTGCTAAAATTTTATCCGCGAGTGTTGTACATCGATATTGACGTCCATCACGGCGACGGCGTAGAAGAGGCTTTCTATGTAACGGATAGGGTGATGACTGTTTCATTTCACAAGTTTGGTGACATGTTTTTCCCGGGGACTGGAGATGTATGGGACAAGGGGTCCGGAGCTGGTGAATACTATGCGGTCAACTTCCCGCTGAAGGACGGGATCGACGACGACAACTACGAAAGGGTGTTTCAGCCTATCATCCAAAAAGTGATGGAGATGTTCCAACCTTCGGCTGTGGTCCTTCAGTGCGGAGCGGATTCTCTCGCAAATGATCGCTTGGGATGCTTCAATCTAACAATTAAGGGACACGGAAAATGCGTACAGTTTGTGAAGAGTTTTAATATTCCGACATTGGTGCTGGGTGGTGGTGGCTACAATATTCGAAGCGTCGCGCGATGCTGGGTTTACGAAACTGCGCTACTGCTCGACACGGCCATCGACGACACGATTCCGTTCAACGATTACTGGCAATATTTTGAGCCAGATCACAATCTACATTTCCCCAAAACTGATTTAGACGATCAGAACAGCCGGGATTACATCGACAAACTGAAAATTAAGGTGATGGAAAACCTGAGATGTTTAAATGCGGCGCCTTCTGTTCAGATGCAAGAAATGCCGCCAACCTACTTTGTTTCGGAAGATGAGGATGAGCGGGATCCTGACAAGAGGGTGCGGCCTTCGCAAAAGGATGCGGAAGGAGAGTTTTATGACCACGACAGGGACAATGGGATGAACTCGACGATTTAGCCAGGAGAAGTAATGGGCAGCTTATCATTCTCGGGAGGCTCTATACTTCTGCACGACTGGAAGTTTAAATCCTTTGGCACATATTAATGGGGGAATCCCGAGGGCTTCAAGCAACGACTACAGTGAATGTAAACTTTTGTGTATATGAACGAGGAAGGATCCTTCCTCACCAAAAGTAAGAAGACTGAGCAGAAGTGTCGAAAAGAATTATTTTGAAATGTTGGTTTAAAATGTGACTTGCCCGTACTATAGCAATTAGTTGAGGAAAGACGTAGGCGAGGAAATTGTCCGCGGTGCGCGGCCTCAACTGTCGCTTTACCCGTTTGCCCTCTCCATGATTTTGCAGCTGAAATGCGGTGAGGCTGCGAGACGTCAGTATGGCCTGAGGACTTGCAGGAGGCTGAAGTAGTGAGCAGGAAAGCTCAGATTATTTCTGTTTTTGATAATTTTGTATCCACGTCTAGTGAAAAATTGGGTTTTGGGAAAGGCCCACGGCCAGCGCACACGTTTGAGTAGAGAGAACTCACTGATTGCCTTGCGACGCCTTCACCTCGACACTCACAGTTGGCGACCTGCTCCGATCAGCGCCGCAGCCTCATTTTTTCCCAGGCTCTTCGCGTTTGGATGATACGCGGCAGGCCGCGAGCTCTATGGACGATCCGCCAGCCTTCACCACGCTAGAAGTGGCCAAGCACTCGAGCGCGGCGGACGCCTGGCTGATCATCGGCGGGCGTGTTCTAAACATCTCGTCCTGGCTGCACGACCACCCGGGCGGTGACGTGGTGCTACTCGATCTGGCAGGTACGCTGCAGCGCGTCTGCGCTCCTCTCAAGCGCGGCTTTGCGTGCACGGCGGCGGACGAAACGCGGGGGAAGGAAAGCGAAAAAAAAAAAAAAAACTAACCGTGCGCGACGCGGGGCACGCACGCTTTGGACGCGGCAGGGCGCGACGCAACGCGCGAGTTCGACGACGTGGGCCACTCGGGCGACGCGCGCGCGCGGCTGGACGGCCTGGTGATCGGGGAAGTGCGGGCGGCGACGGACGACGAGCTGCGCATCGCGCGCAGCGGCGGCGCGGCGGCGCGCGGCGGCAAGGGCGGCGGGATCGCGGCGCGCGGCGCGGACTTGGCCGCAAGCTGGGCGCGCGAGAACGGCGACGCGCTCAAGAGGGCAGGGATGTGGGGCGCGGCGGCGGCGGCCGTGGTCGTGGCGGCCGTTGCCGTGCAGAGATATGGGACGCGGTCGTACGCGGGAGGGTCATAGGGACGGACGGGTTGAGTGGGCGGGCGGGCGCAGTGGGAGGGGTTCGGAATGGTGGAAGGAGTTGTAGGCGTGTAGGGGACTAAATGATGATTGCTTTTGGTGACGGTTGCGTTGGCAGTGCCCGGCGGGACGGAATGATCGGAAGTGTGGGGTATCGGGTCGGCGGGGATGGCAGAGTTGTGTGTTTGCAGAATGAAGCCGGTTGGGACAGGGGACAGTGCTGTGAACGAGGTGGAGGGGGTGTCGGCGGTGCAGAGTAGATGGGCATGGCGTAGCGGTTGGCCTTCTGAGAGGTGGGGGATGGTGAAGGCATGTGAGAAGCGTACGGACGGCGGTGCGGAGTAGATGGGCATGGCGTAGCGGTTGGGGTTCTGAGAGGCGGGGGGGTGTTGCGGGGATTCGGGTGCGTAGGAGGAGCAAGAAGCGTGAAGGGCTGGGTGCTTGAGGGCCGTTCCAAACGAAGAGTTGGTGGTGCCAGCACCGGAGCACCCTGACATTTGGCATGAATGGATTGGTTGAATGGGAGGAAAGCATTTCCAATAATTTTTTATAACCAATCCATTCATGCCAAATGTCAGGGTGCTCCGGTGCTGGCACCGCCAACTCTTCGTTCGGAGTGACTCAGGGCCAGTCCTAACAGGCGCTTTTCTTTTCTTTTGTTTTGAGGCGCGATGAGGGGTTGCTGACGGGTGCTGCTGACGGGCGCTGCTGACGGGCGCTGTGCGCGAGCTGATTGGGTGTTTCGCTGATGACAGTGGGTTTCCCGTCGTTGCACACGTGTACTGCGTGGTTCGGTGCGCGAAAAATTAGGAAAAAGGTGCCGCAGCAATGTTTTTACTGTAGTTGCTTGCGCCAAAACGCGCAATTCAAATCCTTTCCCGCCTCCGGAGGCCCTGAGGGAGGCCACCTCTTTTTCCCAACCGCGCGCCCGCCTTTTCCGAATTTTCGAACTATGGGCGCACCCCCCCGCACGTCGCTCTTCCCTTTCCTTCAAAACCCCCCCTTCCCACCCCTCCCCTTCCTACCTCACCCAACTTATCTTCTCCCGCCCCGCATCTCTGCCCTTCTCCATTCCATCACCTCCTCGTTCCCCTTCCTCTTCCCTCTCCTCCCCCCGCCCTGCCCGCATCGCTCTAACCCCTCCCTCCCTGCCATGAAGAGCGACTACGGCCAGCCCTCCTCCGCGCGCCCCACCTCGGTGCAGCCCATCTCCACTGCCGGCAAGCGCACGTACGCGGACGCGGCCCTGTTGCCGGCAAAGCCTGTGGACTCCTCGCTGCCGCTGTCGTTACAGCTTGGCAAGCGCCGCCGCCGCCGCTCAACCTCGACCTACGCCACCCTCGCGCGCCGCTTGCAGCACCGCGAGCTCGGCCTGGGCAACGCGGGGCTCTCTGGCCCGGCCCTGGCTCGCGACAAGTTCGCCCACATTCGCCTCCAGGTCTCGTTCGATATCCACGCGAAGCCCTGCGATGACGACCCCAGATTGTGGACGAGGCATCCCAATCGCAGCAGGATCATCGAGATTGTTAGCAGCCGCGAACTTATTTTCGCTCTCGCGAATAATGGCGTTTGCACCGTCTTTTCGAGGGACTTGAGGGAAAAGCTCTGTCTGGTTAATACGTGCAAGGGAGAGGTTATCAGAAGCCTGTTCTTGAACAAGACTAATGATTCGTTGATTACCGTGTCCGTGTTTAAGAAGGATGAGTTTTCGAGCTTGCACTGTCGTTCCACACCGCTTGCACACATCAGGAAGGGGAAGATTGAATCTGGCTATCCCATTTTCGAAACGGAGAGCCTGCGTTGGCCGGGTTTCGTCGAGTTTGATGATGTCAACGGTAAGATTCTCACCTTCTCCGCGGATGATAAGACTTACAAGGTCTGGGACTTGCGAACTTATGAGCATGCTTTCACTATACCGTACAAGGGAATTACAGAGATTAAGATTTCCCCGTGTATCATGCTCCTGGTTTTCGACCGAATGGAATCCTACGTTCCAATTCGCATCTTAAACGTGGAGAACGGAGAGCTGTTGAGGGACATCAAGCACATGCTGCATCGTAAGCGTAAGCTCGAGTTTATTGAACAGTTCCATCAAAAGCTCTTGGTTAAGCAGGAGAATGAGAATCTCCAGATTGTCGACGTTTGCACAGGCGATCATGTTGTTGTCGAACGCAGCCATTTTCTACTGCCAAACGCTTTCATCTTCTTGTACGAGAGTGAGTTGTTTCTCACATTTCAGAACCGCCACGTCAGCGTCTGGAACTTTTCTGGCGAACGCGTAACTGCCTTTGAAGATCATACCCTGTTTAGTCAGGATTCAAGCACCAATTGCATTTATATCACACAAAAGCAAGATATTATCGTCTCGCATTGTCATCAGGACGGCGACTGCGGCCACGGTTCCATCAACATGTCGTGGATTGACAGCGGCAAGTCGCTTGGCAAAATCACCTGTGGCCCAGACCACGCCGCTGACCATATTCGCGCCCTGGAAAACGTATCTGCGTTGCACTACAACGAGGAACGAAACGAAGTCTATTCAGGCACGAGGGACGGCTTGGTACATGTCTGGTCTAACTAGCACGAGGGGGCTAGGGAAGCTCGACCCAGTTTTGGCGCTTTCTTTATTGTACTGTAACAATGTTTCACACTTGTTGCCACCTTCTCACTCGTTCAAGTCTCGCGCAGTCCTCGCGCCTCGTTCGCTCAACCTCATGTTTCAAAACCTCGTTTATCTTTTTCGCGATCCCTCGAGTGGGTGATATTCACGCAATCTTCGACGGGGCGCCATGTCGTAGCACGTAGCGTTAGAATACATTCGCCAGTCCGTATGTACAGCTTCGAAACAGGCTGGTCACGCGCGTGCAAAACACGACAGTAAAAGTAACCTCGTTGCTCCTATCGGCCAATGTCAGCAAGCAAGAGCCTCAGTCCTCAGTGTCGTCGGCGAGTTAAGATAGCTTGCTAAAGCGCTATTGTCGTCCATCTGACTGTTGAGTTCCTCGCTACGTCCGTCGTGCAGCGGTTGGACCTCGTGGTCGTCGAAACTTAGAAGAGTCCGTCTTCGGCGGCAGCGCTTTCTCTTGACCGCTACTTTCCCAACTTTGTTTCCCCTTGCAGTTCTTGTCCGACTTGCTCGCTTAGTTGGCTTGTGACCTGAAGCCGTTACTCTTGGAGAGCGCCAGGCGTCTGCGAAAACGATGGCCGGCGGCGACGAGCTGACTTTGGTCAGCAATGAGCTATACGTCTGGGCCGCGCAGGTGACAGCCTGCACAGCTGCATCGACTAAGGGCTTCATCAGGCCTGAGTCCCGGCGTGCGGACGAGGCCAGGGACAAGTTTTGAGTGACAAACGACAGACGCTGGCTGAGGTCACTTGTAATGCATTCTCGTCTGGGTGCACGCTGGCGAGGGTTGTGTTTGACAGGAATGGCACGGGTGGGTGGTGTTTGCGATGAAGGGTTGTCTTCCGGCATAGTGTTCAAAGTTCTTTCCAAGGTCTCGGCAAAGGAGCAGTTCTCTTCGAGCTTGGCGCATGTGTCCGAATCAAAATCTTGCTCGAGGGCAATTTCGAGATCCAGTTCGGGATCAGACGAGGGCTGCCGAGCTGGCTCTGACTCTGGCTCCGGCTCCGGCTCTGAGCCTTGTCCAAAAGCCATGGTGTGTAATTTGTCTTCCATGGTGAGGTCAGTTGTGTTGTTATTGCGGGAGTTAGTGGATTTAGATCTGGAATTCAGCTGCTTGCAGGAAAAAGTCTGGTTGGCGGGCGGAGAGGAAGGGATTGCTGATGAGTTGGAGGGAAGGTGCAGCATAATGCGACCGGCTAGGTCGCCAGAGCGGGAGAGGCGCAGAGTGGTCTGCCTGCGACGCGGAACATGGACTTGGGGCGTGGGGTAGTCTCGCGGCGGGGAGGCGAGGCGGGGCTTCTTTGCTGGAGGCTCCGGGGAAGTGAGGCCGAGGGAGCGACGAGCACGAGCGGACGGGGTAATAGTGACCTTGACTCGTTTGCGGAGAGGGCAATTGTCATCGAGGAAGGATTTCCAGCCCGGGCGAGGCGGTGTAGCGGCTAGTGGGCGGATGGGAGACATTGGGAATGGGGGTGGGTGGCGTGTGAGCGGAGGGCTGGAGGAGAGGAAAGGCGTTGGAGAGAGCGGAGCACGAGCTGGAGAGGAGAAGGCATCCTGGTTGTTGAAGAGGAAGTCGTTGTCCGGAGAGATGTGTGGGGGTGGCAGAGGATCGTTTTCGACGTCCTCATTGCAGAAAAGGTCTGACTCGAACAACGAGCGAGGCGGGGGAGGGAGCGGTCCACGGTCGATAGAGCCGCGAAGGCACTCCTCATCCCAAAATGGAAGCTCGGCCATGTTCTGCAACGAAGTGGAAGGGAAAATAGAGTAAGGGGGGATGAGAGGGCATGTGTAGGATCGCGTCGGGAGAAGGAGGGAGTAGAAGGGTCGGTCGGAGGCGGGAGTAGGAGGGTGAGAGGGAAGTAGTAGTGGTATGGGAGGGCTTTAAGTAGGAGGGTTGCGCGGGAGGGGACGAGCGCGGACGGTGGGGGGGAGTACGGGGCGCGAAGGGTGGCCCAAAAAAGGGAGGGATAAGGCGGGGGGGGCCCAGTGTAGTGGTTGCGGAGCGGTGTGAACGAAAAGAAAGGGCGCCATGGGGTGCGGCCCGAGGAACTAAGGTGCGAGGGGTGTTGGGTCTGAGGGTGCGCGGGAATGCGAGCGGGGGAAACATGACGAGAGGTGAGTGGGGGAAATTTTGTGTGGAAAACGATGCCGCTGGCCCATTGGAACGCCCCGCCCCCCCCACGCCTGCGCCTACGTCAGTATGACACCAGCACTTGCAAGGCGGTTTTTGACGTCATACGCGTCCACGTTTCCGGCTGGAACACCCGCGAACGAGGCTCCCGCCCCGCGGGGCGGCGGCGGCTTGTGATCACGGGTGGATCTCGGTCCGCTCCCCCGTGAGCCCATCTTGATACCTTCTTTGGCGGGAACCATACACGTATGACACGTCCGATTATGGCGCCTCAATCCGGCGTCGGAACCCCGCCGCTTTGTCCAAATTATACGTTTCGCTCCCCGCCATCCGCGCCAACTGCCAAGTATGGCCGTAGAAGTTTCTTTTAAATATTTTTTTTGATCTCTTGCCACCCAATCCGGTAAAGCTCTCGAGATGCACCTGCACCAACCACACCCCCTGGTTGGCTGCCTGCATTGCATGTATGCAGAGAGGACAGGGACCCTGCGGACACGACCTTCAAGCATTTCCTCCTGGAACAATCCCTTTACTACAGTACAATATCTGCCGACCCATAGCATCCACGACCCTGGCGAGCTGCGTTGGATTCCGCAGTAAACGTCCCAGGCGCCTTCTTGAACGCCTGGCTGAACGACAGCCGCCGCTCGGATGGCCGGTGCATGCCATCTTTGCAACGAGCGCAAAGCTACCGCCAGTCGAAACGGCGCGATTCAGTCCAACGCGTGCTGCGCGCCGTAGTGTATTGCTTTGTACTCAAAAGGTGCAGAGAGAAGACCCCCCTTGCGGCAATACTGCTTGGCCAAGCATGCCGAAAGTAAGTGCAGGCCTTCTAGGCTCTGTAATGATAATGAGGGCGATGCCGTCTCCGGTGTGGCTCGATGGGCCATGGCAGCTTGGTTGCAGACTGTAAGCGCTGTCCTCTCGAGGCAGACGACCGGTGGCGGAAAAATTCGGCACCGGTTCCAATGCATCAAATGGTGGCGGCGGTGGACCGCACTTTCATGTCTGCACTGGAATGGCGGACGCGAGAGTTTTGCAACTTTCCTTTGTGTGGAATTGGCGATACCCCTGTACACTGTCAGGGTACTGCATTCGGGTCTTGTGAGAAGTAGGGGCGCGAAAATACACCCGACAACTTTCGTTTTTTAATGCAAAGTTTTTGGCTGAGGTAGAGTTGCATTTCTGCACTCCACTTGTGTGGCGCTTTGCGCACGGCACTGCAAGATGTACTGTACTGTAGAATCTGTAATGTCCCGCGAAGATGCACACTGTGCACTGTGTAGTACACAGTGTGTACTGTAGTTCACAGTGTACATCTTACAGTGTAATGCGCGAAGGAAAAGTACAGAATAAAGTTTACAGTGGGGGGACCAAATGGCAAGCATCCACTTAGTGCCAACGTGTACACGCACGGAAATTGAAAACGTGTACAGTACAATTCGAGGCACGGCTGTAGCGTACAAGCTGTACACTCTGCAAGCAACTGCTGGTCCTAGCCAGAGCAACTCTGCGAGACAGATGCGTGTGACGTGTCGCTCTTCTTCTCTGGACCGTAAGGACCCTCGAGCGCAGACCCTCCGCTTTTTTAGTGGACCTTTCCCAGATAAACGTACACGTTTAGAGTCTAAACTTTAGACTAAGATAGAGAGTGGGCAACTGTGGATTGTGCCCACACTACAATATGTCTTGATGTTACAGTAGACTGCAGAAGGATCTCTTCTTCACTGTAATGCAGGTGTGTTCCACGTTCCAGCAATGCATTGTTGCTACAGGGAGTTTTGTTTATCGGTTCGGTGGGGCTTTCCTTGATCTCGTGGGTCGGTAGACAGACATCTGCATGGCCCGCAATATCCTGACCAATCCTTAGCCAAGAGGAACGCCCGCAAGAATGAATTTTCAGTTCCCTCTCTGGGACTGTGGGATTGGACGACACCCTAAGGGTGTGTCTTAACATGCCCCGTTTTGCTGCGGTTTGCTTTGCCTTGCCCAAAGAAGTGACTTGGCGTGCTATGAGTGGCTCCTACGTTTTAATTTATGTGTTTAAGAAAAGCAACGGCTTAAGAAGCATACGGTATTTGTTAAGAATTTAAAAGTATTCCTGGCAAAACCGGGCAAGGCAAAGCAAAAACCAGCCTGTTAAGACACGCCCTTAGTGTCATTTGGACAAATGTTCGCCATGCGGTTGCATTTTTTTTCTCGCTCCCCTTTGCTCTGTTTCTGGCTCCTCTTTGCTGTTTCTGGCTCCCCTTTTGCTCTGTTTCTCGGGGCCTACTATTTCTACCCTGCTGCTGGTGGGCGTGCAGCGTGGCTGCGTATTGTGTACTGTGTGTTGTGGTTTCTGTCGCGCCAGCCAATGATCGCTGCCGAACATTATCTCGACGAAAATAGGGTATTTGGGTTGGGCCGGGCTGAGAAATCCCGGTAGGACGGAAGCGGGAGATAGTGGGGCTGCAGGGACTGAAATGAGACTTTTGTAGTACGGAAAAGTCAGGCTTGCTGGCGGAACGGATGTAAAGTTTAGGGGCAGTAAAACATGTGTGCCTTCTCATGAGGCCCAGTTGCGAAATGACTTTCGACTTTTCGTTTTCTGCATTGTGGCAGCAGCGAAGGAATTCGGCCCGCATGTCGCGTCGTTCCTGCTGCTCCCCGAATTTCTGAGAAGAGCTGCGCCAGGGCGACAATGCATGACAGGATCTTGAAGATCATTTTTCGTGCATTGTTCTTTACGTTCTTTCGACTCAGGATAAGGTCGTTGGATCCTTCTGACAGGCTGGTGAAAGATCAGCTAATGCGGAGACAGACCAAGTCGCTGTCAACGGAAGGCGAATACTGTACGGAATTTGATCGAGCAGTCAAAAGCAGGAGCTGTAGAAAAGGCGCTGGTATGGAGCTCTGCCTGCGCCCATCTATAAGCTTGGCACCAGCCTCATGTGAGAGATGCTTGAAATCATACTGTATTGTTACTGTACGCTCTGTAATGCAGACGGGCCATTTTAGTACGTGTATGAATGTTACGGGATGGTAGCGAGTCGCGCAAGAGAAAACTTGGCACCCAGAGAATGGCCAGATGTTTAGAGAAGCAGTTGTTATGGCAGTGAGAGGATTCGGGACAGAACTCGCATCTCATACTGTAACATGCGATCAGTGCTGCTGTGACTTTGCACGGAGAATAAGCACAGAGAGCCCATTTCCGAGCACCGAGCGCCGGTTGGGACGCAAGGAGTGGTGGGAACGCGGACACACCTGGCTGACACACCTGGCTTGGCTGTCGCCCCCTGATATCAGACTATCAATACTGGCGTTCCATCTGGCGTGCATTCCGGCACTCTACCGGGCTTTGCAGTGCGCCACGCCGCGAGCGCGCTACGGCGGCTTTGTGCAGCCTCGCACGGCGCGGGGCCTCCTGGCCGCAGGGCGGTCCGATCGGGGCGCAAACAGTGACGAAACTCGAGCTTCGCATCGGCAGCAACCCGTGCACCTTGCTGGCGCCACGCGACTCGCGCGTGCTAAATGAAGAGGACCAGGAATATCTCCCGCCCGGGCCAGCGAGGCACGATTTGCCCCCCCAGATTCCCCTCTTCCTGAAGCGACGTCATGTGCCACCCGGCAGCTTTCGGCGTACGGTTTTTGGCCCGGCCAACACATGCTTTAGCACCCCCCTCTGTCGTTCTCACGAATGTTCTTCTGTTCCTGTTAGCCCTCCTTCATATCTACCAGTACCCCTTGCCATCCTCTGCCCCCTTCGCCTGCTTCTACCGTTGGGTACAGTAGACTCGCTCTGCGTACCTGGCCCTTCCCTTGTGCCTCTGCCGCGCCCGCCCGTCCCCACCCTCGCGCCCGGCTCGTGTGCCACTGCCCGCCCATCATGGATGTCGACGCCGCCCTCGACCGCTACCTCCGCAACGCCGACGTCGCGCGATGGCTCTTCGGCTGGGACCCCGTCCGCACCGTCACGCCCGACGCCATGGCCGCCTCGTTTGTGTACGCCATCGGCTGGGGCGTGTATCCGCCAGGCGTCCCGCGCACCATGAACGTCGAGGACATGCTCATCGTCACCGGCCGCGCAGGCGACTTCATTCTTGGCGTCATTTGGGGGCTTGGACAGCCCCACGTCTTCGCAAAGTCCCCGCTCATGCTTAATAAGAGGCCCGTTGCGAGGCGCTTCGCAGTCGACTTCTCCACGAAGGACGCCCTGGAGTTTATGGAGTTCGATACCTTCGAGGACGGCAAGATCATCGTCATGTTCAGGCAGTTTATTCATACATTGGACTTGTCCTTGCCGGTCGTTGCCACCGCCAGGCTCCACGCCCCAAGCGGCATTGAGCAGACCCTCGGTCCGGTCCTCATGAGGGCCGACGTGTTCGAGGCCGCTTCTTGTCCGCGCTGCGGTCAGGTCGGGAAGAGTTGTCTCTGCAGCTTTGATAGCTACGCCCCGAGCTCAACCGTGCGCAAGTCCACCTACACTTGGAATCAGTTTACCAGCTGCTTCATGGCCAAGGCTCAAGTCGGCACCATTAAGATGCGCATAACCGCCATCCTGCCAGGCATCGGCGAGCTGCGCATCGTCAACAACGAGGTCCCCGTTCTCAACGTACTGCAGAAGGGAAACTCTGAGTACATCAACCTGTGCAGGACAAAAGCTATCCACGGTCTCGGTATCACCGTCATCATGCCCAGGACCGATACGCTTGTCATGGCGAAGAGTATCGAGAATGACTTCATCGACCTGCATAACAGCTACGTCACTCGCAAGCGCGTTCGTGAAACCCTCGACCCCGGCGAAGACGACTTTATCTTAGATACTGCACTGCGACCCACACCTTATGCACTTGGTAACACACAAGTCACCGACTTTCTACATCCTTCCCTTGCTCCCACTACCTCTGATTCCATCGAGTCGGTCGACGACTTCGTCTCCATCTTTCCCGGCATGTCCGCAACGGCCACGTCTCTGAACCATCCAGACGCCATGGCCAACGCGCAAGACGTCCTTCTGCAGCAGGCCACTGCCCCGCTACCCGAGCCAGAGCTTCCCTACATAGACGCTTCGTTTGATCCGTTTGGAAAAGCCTACATTGACCCTACCCCAGAGATCGATTTGAGCCCTAACTTCACCGCCACCTCCGGCATGGATTATCCCAGTCCCTTGGAGCAGCCGCTGACAAAACCCGACCTTCTTGACCCCATCGAAGACATCTTTTCCCCGCTCGAGTCACAGACGCTCACCCCTCCCAATCTTACCGCGTTGCATGACCCCATCCCGCTCGAGTTGCTCGACACTTCACTGAATACCCCCAATGGGTTAGAGACAAGCAAGGGCGTTTGGTCCTCAGTTGTATCGAGCGAAACATCTGCGAGGGAAGCGCGTGTGACGCAGGTTGACGGTAGCGGGAAGCAAATCCGGACTGCTAGCCGGAAAAAGCGTGCCAAGCGACACACCAACGAGACTGGCGGTGATGATGAGCGCAAGCACAAATGCAGGACCTGCGAGTCCAGGTTCAAGAACCGCGGCGATCTCCTGCGCCACGTGAAGGTTGTGCATGAGGGTAAGCGTATGTACTTATGCGAAACGTGCGGCAAGAGCTTTGGGCATTCTGGTCACTTGAACCGCCACATTCAGTCGGTGCATCTTCACCAGAGGCGGTTCAAATGTCAGTTCTGCCAATATGAGTTTTACCAGGCTTCGCACCTGCATAGTCATATCGGACACATCCACGGCAAGAAGAAGACGCTCAGCTGCAAAGAGTGCGGGTACAGGGCGTCGAGTCGCAACGCGCTCAAGACGCATATGACGAATGCGCACCCATGCGAAGAGGTGACGATGCATGGGTGTGCATTCGCTGACTGCCCGGGCACGTTTGAGAACGAGAATGAATTGAAGAACCACATCAGTGATGTTCACGGTAGCACTACGAATAGCAATGTGCTGGAGCTTGCAAGAAGAAGGTAGGTTCCTGCCTGAGAATGTAATAGAAGTCGGCTCTCGTTCCCTACAGGAGCCGAAGAAGCATAGGGGATTGTGCATAGTTAAAGGAGTCGAAGCGTTTGTAAATCTTTCGACGAAGCTGATTAGAGTGCAGTAATCTGCTGCGATACTATTGCATGGTAGGCGCTTTTAGCCCTGACAAGATCTGTTCTCAAAGATCTGTACTGTGCTGAAACTAAACAGGAAACACCTGTGCTTTACGGACAGAGGTTGGCTCTTTTTTGGCTTATCGCGTGCAAGCACGAGAATCAATGATACGGTATGAAGTGGGTGAGGATTTGGGAAAGAGCAATAAATTTTCTCGGCAACTGCTGTTCAGAAAACAATTCTACGGCACTTGGAACAAAAAGATACAGAGCCGCGAAGAGAAGGGAGGAGGATTCGACTGCCACGTGTCATCTGCAATCCGTAAATAATTGAGATGGAAGGCGATTTTGCCAAGTCGCCAAGTCGCAATCTGCAACAACACGAAAACCTTCCGCCACCCGCATCCTGTGCTGGAAGGAAACCGGGCAGCGAATCATCTTCCTCTTGGTCCACGCCAGTTCAGTATAACGCCGCTCTCCCAATTTCGTCCAGCGCCCCACAGCTGTTCAGCCTTAGCACACCACGCCTTGGGACACCACCATCCGCCCCGCAGAGACGCCACGCGCCCCGTGATCTGAAACCACATGAATTGGTTCCGCGCCAATGCGCCGAGCGACGGCGCCAACCCCGATCAGGAACAGGCCGACGGTAGCGCCGCCTTGACGCCGGACGAGATCCGTCGCCGCCGCCTCGCCAAGCTCGAAGCGTCGCACGCTGCCGAAAAGGCCCGCCGCAAGGAGCTGGAAGAGCGCCGCGCCAAATGGGAAGCCGAGAAGGCCGCCCGTGAGGCCGCCGCGCCCAAGCCGCCATCCCCGCCGCCAGTCCCGACGCCGCGCGAACCAGAACCGATCGAGGAGCCAGTGCCCAAACGCCCCGCGGCACCGCTGCAAACACTGGAAGCAGCCGTGTCTAAGGTCGTCGCGAAGAGCCTTCGTATCGCCATCACGCCGCTGCAGGCCGTTGGAGGCTGCGAGTATCTCCCGGATCTCGTCGATGGGCTCAGACAGGAAGCGGGAGTGAAGGAAGGGGAGACGTTGCTGCTTGAGGTCGATCTGCATGCGGATGATATCTTGATTGATCGTATTAACGGCTCGAAGGATCCGCTGGGCTATCTCTTTGACTGCTTTGTAAGGTGTGGGCAGCAAGTGTCTGAGATTAACTCCAACCGCCGCATTATGGGTGAGGAGCATGCGGATAGACGCATGACGTTGCAACAGACTGTCGCCGAAGTTCAGAGACGCATTATGACGTACTCGGGAATGCTTTTGAACGGGTCGTTCATGGAAACTGACAACGTTAAACCAGAAGCGTTTGCTGAATGCATACTGCAACAGAAAGTCCCGACTGGATTTATTCGGTCGCTGCTCAGTTTTCACGCTGAGCAGGACGGACCTGGTTTGGATGACATTCTTCCAGTCTTCACGCGAGTCTTTCGCGCGGTTCGCCATGAAGCCCTCACAAACATGAAGCTCTCGTCGAGCTCTTTCCTTAAGCCACTCAACGCCCTGGTCGGGCTCCTTAAGCATAAGGAACTGTGCGTACTCGTCACCTCGGATACGAGTTTTGTGCCAAAAGGAACCGACGCGAGGCCCTTAAACGTCACCATGTTCAATACCCTATCCTTTCTCGCGCCTTTCTTTGCGATATCTGCCCTGCCCGGTCTCCCGCTGCATGCGCCATCTCGCATTGAAGACCCGCAAATAGCCAACACGATGTTCGCAAATCCGACAATGCTTGACCGCGTTTCTGCCGAAGGAATAATTTACTCTCTTCGATCCTCGCTTTCGGTCGCGCGGGCTCGCCTGCATCAAATATGCCTCATGTTGTGCAAAGCCGGCGCACAACCTCGAAATGCAGTCCTCAGTTGGTTTGCAACAATTCTGAATCTGAACCAAAAGCGTACCGCCATGCAGGTCGACTATGCAGAAGTTTCTGGAGATGGATTCATGCTCAACGTCATGCATGTGCTTCTCCAGTTTTGTGAACCGATCGTGAATGGGGGTTGGAAAATGCTGCAGAAGATTGATCCTACCTTTCCGCAGTCGTCTCATCGGCTTGACTACGAAGACGCAACCAGGCTCGCAGCGGATTCAGACATGCTGAAGAGGTGGTGGGTTGATCAAAGGAACGAAAACGCGCAAGAGTCTCTCACCAGACACCTCGAGGCTGCTGCAAGAGAATCTGGCGCTACAGCTTCAGCCTCCAGCTCACAAGCTGCTAGTGGGTCAGAAGATGCACAGGTGGCTCCACAACAAGTTGCCAAGGAATTCGGTTTTGTGACGGAATGCTTCTGGCTCGCACTTAGCTCAATCCACCTCGGATTCATTGCAGTAGAAAATATGTATGAAGAATCAATTTTGCGAACGCTGCGTCAACTCAAGGACGTGATAGATGAGATGGAAGCAGCCAAAAGTGTTCACAGACTGCCACCGAGGGGATTGATGCAACTAGTTGCGTTCAAACAGCGGAGAGATAGCCTTGCGTCTGCAAAGCTGTGCTACGATGTGTACGTACAAGATCCCGAGACTCTAACGACACTGGTGCGGTTTGCAGCTGCAGATGCCGAATGGTTGATGAAGAAGTTGCTTCAAGAACCAGCACGGGAATCATTACTGCCTCTACCAGTTCCTCCACATCCAACGTTTGCGTCATTACCTGAACACACAGTGGAGGCGATCACGACAACTCTTCTGTGTACGATGCGATTTAGACCTGAGATAGTAGATGATAATAGTGCGCTTTTGGAAGACATTGTGAGCTTTTGCATCGCCGGGTCAGCATCACCGCTGCACTTAAAAAACCCTTATCTACGAGCAAAGCTGATAGAATTCTTGTGGATGATATTCCCGAGAGGGATGGGTGGGGTGCAAGATGACGAGGACGAAGAGTATCGTGGACCCCGGAACCCAGGGATGGAGGCACTGTTTTCCGGGCATTCACTTTCGCGAAGATTTCTACCCGGAGCGCTGTTTCGTCTGTATGTAGATGTGGAGCATACAGGATCGCACACGCAGTTTTACGACAAGTTTTCCATCCGGTACCGAATTGGATCGATTGTTGAATCGCTTTGGTACATGGCAGACTATCGAAAGTCTGTGAGAGTGGAGGCACAAGATGAGGGGCGTTTTCTCCGTTTTGTGAACATGGTTTTAAACGATGCCAACCACCTGTTGGACTCGGTGTTGGACGATTTGGAGGAGATGAATACGCTTGAAGGGGTGATTAAAGGGGGATCTGCAGAATGGGAGGGGCTGACAGACGAGGAGAAAGAGGAAAAGCGGGAGCGATTAAAGAAACTGGAGGGGTCGGCCAAAACGTACAACCAGTTGGCCAACAACAACGTGAAGCTGTTATGGCTACTGACGGATGATGCGGTTGTGCGACGAATTTTCTTACGCGATGAGATGGTGAGTCGGTTGACAGAAATGCTGAACTACCTGCTGGTGCGGTTGTGTGAAAAGAGATGCCGAGACCTCAAGGTGTCTGAACCGGAAAAAGTGTCGTGGAAACCGCGACTGCTCCTAACACGAATTATTCAAACATACGTGCACTTTGGCGAGGACGAGACATTTGCAAAGGCTGTGGGACTGGATGGGCGTTCGTATAAGAAGGAGCTGTTGCCGCGAGCTATCGGGATTGCGACGCGACGACGGTTGGTGAGTGCGCAGGAAATACAGGTATTAAGAGAAATCGCGGAACGGGCGGAGAAGGCAGTGAAAGAGGACGAGGAAGAGGAAGGGGCGCTGGGGGAGATCCCAGACGAGTTCCTAGACCCGATCATGAGCAGCGTGATGAGAAACCCTGTTCGGCTACCGACATCGGGGAATATCATGGACCGTGCGGTAATCTGTCGAATTCTGCTAAGTGACAAGGTGGACCCGTTCAATCGGAAGTTGTTGACTGAGGACATGTTGGTGGAGGAGGTGGAGCTGAAGGAGCGGATAGAAACGTTCATTAAGTCGCGGCGTGGTGGGGGGAGGCCGTGAGGACGTTGTTGGCGATGATGGAGAGCCGCCGCCATGTGGTAGCGGCGGGGCGGTTATCGACCAAATCTATTTTAAACCAAAAATCTTACCATTTTCCTGCAGCGTCACACCTCTCACGTGCACCATCATACACCTCCGCCCTTCCCCCTCCATGCCCCCCCTTCGCCCCGGTCTACCGTTTCCGCCCTGCCCTAATCTCCGCTGCCGCAATGCATGGAGTGGTGAACATCGGAATTGT